TATATATATATATATATATATATATATATATATATATATATATATATATATATATATATATATATATATTATAGTGGTTTTTTTTGTCTGAATTTCTGTGATGAGGAGTTATCATTTCTTACACTGTTTGCATGTAAACTCATTGTCCTCAGGTCTTGCCCTCCGGCTCTCATGAAATGTACCTCGATCCGAGTAGCCAGCAGGGTATTTGGAACACAGCGCTTTACGAGAGCATTCCGTCGATTAAATAAGGGATCATTTCTGAATTGCCTGTAGATGACCCAGATCAACATGAACCTGATGAAAACGGCCGAAAAGTTGAGCTTACAATCATAAAGATGGGGTCAAATGTCCGCGTGTAGACAGTGTAAATATAGTGGCTTTTATTTGAATAGAAGTATAATCACTTAATCTGCCTAATGGTTCACGAAAACGTTTAAACTTATGTACTATTTTATCGCCTGTGTAAATCCCTTTAAAATGGATGATCTTTGAAGTGAATGATTACTTGTGCCCTCGACGTGTTTCACATGTAGAATCTAGAAGAATGGGAGAATTCGGAAATTTGAAAGCCCTTCAAAAAAGTCTTGGTTTATAGAAAACTCGTTAACGATTCTCTGAGGACCCCAAGGATAGAATTTTGGTGTGCAAAGAAGAATTAATCAAACGCTTACTGTCACTTGGCCTTTCGAGTACTGACGAGGAATTTCTTTTTGAGCAACAAAATACGTAAGAAAGTAAATGAAAGAAACAAAAATTAATAAATAATCGAAAATAATAATAAATAAATTTAAAATAAATAATATATAATAAATAATAAATGAAAGAAAAAAATAATAAAATTTAATGAAGCGGATCAATGGTAATGTCAGTTACAAAAACAGATAAATAAAAATTCTTCAAATGTTGAGTGACATGTTTTTTTCCGAAGAAATAATGGACGTAAAATATTGGTGGACAAAGACATATCATATAAGAATCGGCATTTAAAAATATTAAATAGTGATAAAGCAAATTAAAAAAAAAATCACTTCAGCTCTTTGCTGTATACTGCTTGGAATTTGTTTTGAAAATTCCTCACTTGGTATCTAAAAATCAATCACCAATATAATTGGTGCAAAAAAAAGAAGAGTCGAATTTGTAATTCGAATTTTCAAATTCATATTGAATTAATAAGATTTTAGCATAAAATTAAAATCGATTCCAAAGATTTTAGCAAAAAAAAGAATTGAAAAGAAACAACTTGTAATCATAACGTGTGCGGCATGGGGTTTATCGGGGTTGTATAATGTTTAGCAAGCTTGCCTCGCTAGAACATTTACGACTGAATATGGAGTTCGACCCTCACTGGGTCGCCCATATGTCCTGTCTTGTGCCACTTCTAAGCTACGCTTACAAAATCACCACAAAGTCTGCGGCAGTGTTTTTTTTTTTTTGTATAAACATGGAAATATCAAAACATTGGCGTTGTGGGAGGCTACCAGAATGCGAGACAAGTGACTGAGATTTGCAGTGATATTTAGTCACTAAATCTCTGACGTCATCCACTAGATACCTGATGTAAAAATACAAATACATAAATAATATTATTAATAATAATAATGCACAGGATTTGATAAGTTTATAAGGAAGTTAAGTGAAAATAAATAAAAAAAAAGATTTTGTTAAAGAAAACTTTCCTTATGAAATGTAAAATCTCTTGGAGTAGGTTTCTAAAAAAAAAAAAAAATTGCTAAAGTGTCAGCTTAGAGACTTAGTAAATGGTTGTGTAAAAAAGCCAAAATAAACAAATATGTAAATAATAATAGTTCAGATGTACAATAATAAAAAATGTATTACTAAATGATGAAAAAAAAAACCGAATTTCTGTAATAATAACACGCTAAATGGCACAGGTAAAAACGGCACAAGTAATAAAGTCTGAAAAAATAAGCTTATTGAAATACGCAATACTGGTAAATAATATTGGTTTTGAATCGATAAGTTTTATTTATTTATTAATATTACCAAAAAGAAGTAGAATTGTTTTACGTCCATTTGTAATTATAAATTTATACGGTTAAAATTTATGAAAACCAATTATAATGAAATCAAATATGTTTAGATATGAAAAGTCCGATTTATATCAACGTCTAAAAACAGAAATTAATAACTAGACAAGATATTGAAAATGCATGTGCATCAATCCCGAGGACACTTTGGTTATCGTTGCCCAAATATTAGTTCACCGTACTAATAAATATCTGGAAGCGAACGGTCACCATTTTCAGCATTTCTTGTGATTGTAGAGTCCAAAGACAACTTGGATTAATATTGTTATATCTGAATAAATTTAGTATTACAATATATTTACAACTTTTTCCTTTCCGGAAGTGTGTATGCATCATTTTGGTGAACTCTGTCCCTCTCTCATATCCTCTCTCTCTCTCTCGCTCTCTCTCTCTCACACACACACACACACATCCTGTCTAATAATAATACAAAATATTCTTAATAGAGAAAGCACATTGAATTTAGTCGTCAGTTATTTCAGAAGAATAATAACAGGAATCCTTAAAACAATTGCAATATTAACAGTATTAAAAGAATTATATCACAATTGGATCAAGAAAGATCTTAACTGAATGAATTTAATCTCTCTCTCTCTCTCTCTATATATATATATATATATATATATCTCTTTCTCCTCCTCTCCTCCTTTTCTCTCTCTCTCTCTCTTTATATATATATATATATATATATATATATATATATATATATATATATATATATATACATAATAGTAATATTCGTTTAGAAAAAAAAAAAAAACTCGGTGAGCTCAACTTTTGTGAGATATGTCAAACCAAACAGAAGAGGGCGAAACAAATTGTCCATTGACGGAAGATCCATTTAGGTGAAATCTAGTAGATAGCTTTTCCTGGACCTTTAGGATTTATTTTTTATATATATATATATATATATATATATATATATATATATATATATATATATATATATTACATCTTTATATTAGTTATTTACTAACACCTGTTATTTTCTAACGCCTGATGAGATGGGTTTATAAGCATCGAAACATGACTGCATTTCTGTAGCGTTTTTTTTTTTGTTTGTTTACATATTTTGATGCAATATCCTAAGAAAAAAATGCTTTAATTTAGTATTGAGCCCTTTTTTAGATTGAATGTTACGAACTTCGGAATTGGACAGTATTCGTTCTCATTTTAAATATATATATATATATATATATATATATTATAAATTAATTGATTTAAAATATGTTTTTTCACTACACAGTTCTAACCATGTTTCAAAAATGGAAGCTGAAAGCTTCAAATTTAATTTTGTAATTAAATTAGTTCCATTTCATCCTCAAGCGAATCTTTTCGGAGCTTTCAGCTTCCATTTTCGAAACATGGTTACAACTGTGTAGCGAAGAAAAACATATTTTAAATCAATTAATTTATAATATTAATGCTCTGTCAATTTACATTGAGCATTATTTTGTAAAAATAAAAAATATCTATAAGAACACCTGATTATATATCTTACTTTTTTTTTCTTTATATATATATATATATATATATATATATATATATATATATATATATATATATATATACTTTAAAGATTTGGTGTATATTTGGGAATTTTGTACCGGCGTAGGGTTAGTAAGTTTACGTTGTGACCAAATCAACCTGACATTTGATTTAGGCTTTTCCTTCCTTCTGTGTACTTTTTGCATACAATATTTACTCTTTGTTGCAGATTAACATATACTTTTTTGATTTCTTTCTAAGTGGTTCCACCAACCGATTCCCTTGCTGTCATTACACTCACAACAGCCCCTTCCTTCTGGATCATTATTACAAGTTTCCAGAAATCTGGGAGCTGAAGGGCAACAAGACGGTAACATTTTTGTTCCAGTCTTCACATAGCGTGTTGCTTCTGTTTGAAAAGTGTGTTTTTCTCCCCTTTGTGCCATTTTTAGCGGTGCCATTTTTACCGTCGCATTATAATGTTAATTTTAAAATAGAAAGTCAAATGTGTTTTTATCTCTCATTGATTTTGATGGAAACTAAGTATAATGGATCTGTAATCAGTGGGTAGGAGTTGAGAAACGATCTCCCCCACCACCACCCATCGGCCAGGGGACCACTTCAACGTGGTGCAATGGTTAGCAGTTTGTCTCGCTGGATGAAGTACGACTAAAATATTGAGTTCGAACCTCACTGGCTGGCTGCTCCCTACTTTCGGCCTTGTGCCAAATCTAAGCGATGATTAGTAAATCACTGATCACTTCGACGTGGTCTAACGGTTAGCAAGCTTGCCTCGCTAGATCAGTTACGACTGAATCGTGAGTTCGATCCTCACTGGGTGCCCCATAATTTCGGCCTTGTGACACGTCGGCATCCGGCCGAAATGTCGAAGACACGAAGAGGATATCAAATAATAAAAATAATAAAAATAATAATAATAATAATAATAATAATCTGATGCTCCTGATAAGAAGGCGCACTTAAATGAAACAACAACAATAATAATCAACCCCATGAATGAAATAATAATAATACAAAAATATTCTTAATAGAGAAAGCACATTGAATTTGGTCGTCAGTTATTTCAGAAGAATAATAACAGGAATCCTTAAAACAATTGCAATATTAACAGTATTAAAAGAATTATATAATAACAATTGGATCAAGAAAGATCTTAACTGAATGAATTTAATTGTCAGGTCAGCAGAATAATCGATCAGAAAAACGAAACAATTGGTGATCTACCATTTCTTTGTGAAAGAAAGAGAGCAAGAATGCTATGGTTCAGATTTCAAAATTATGACAAAGGACAGTCGAAGCCTCATAAAAAAGACATTTTAGAAAGCATTGGTGATTTCCTAGACCGAAATAATAATAAAATTAATATATATATATATATATATATATATATATATATATATATATATATATATATATATATACAAGTCTTTGTCATTTAATTTACACATGTGTTGTTGCACTTTTCTGAATTGGTGTCATGGTTGTTGTGGATTGGTGATTTTTTTGGTCTGACAGGCGTCTATACTCGCTTTCGTCGGGTTCGTGAGCGACTCGCCGCTCCACATAACCGCGGCAAAAAATTGTCCGAAAATGGTCACGAATATTTTTGTTAAATAGGCAATACAACACAAAGTTCAAGGCGGCGTTCACCGTCAGTAAGGTGTCTGTAAATTCCCGAATGCCTTTCACGAGAAGGTTGGCATCGTAGTAGCCGAAGCCGAAACAAGTGGACATGATAGCGTCTGGCGTGATGCAGACGACAAAAACGACGATAACCATTATTAGCATGAATGTGATACGATTTCGCGCCGAAAAGCGTCGATTCGCCCGCGTCTTTCGAAGGGCGTTAATGATGTAAGTATTTAGGATTATTAACACCAAGAATGGTATCACCGATCGAAGTAGATTTTGCGTCCAGTTATAAGCCACTACAAATGTTTCATTCATCCACAAATCGGTGACTACAATATTATAAACAGTTTTATTATGATGGGGGTCGTGGCAGGATACGGTTTTGTAACGAATAACAGACGGAATAGCTAACAGTGTCATACACACATAGATCGTTCCGCTGACAATGATGGCCACACGACGGGTACATAGAGTTTTGGCTTGGGCCGCGTGACAAACCATAATGTATCGTTCCGCTGCAACAGACACGATTAGCCAAGACGAAACACATGCTGCAAGATTAAAAACAAAGTGTGCGTATGGATATATATAACCAAAAGCAGTTTTGGCCACCGAAGGGTATGTACGGCCAATAAGCAGAACTATGAAATATATAAGGTCGTTTAAAAGCTTGATCATGTCGGATATTGCCAACGCGCTGAGGAAAGCGTTAGTCGATGTCCGCATTGTCTTTTGCGTGAGTACTATTAGCGTGAGAGTGTTTCCAATAATCCCAGGAATACAGCAGAGTGGATAAAGGATTAACCCGGTAATAAATTGGGATTGTTCGTAAAAAGCGCTGTATTCGCTTTCTTCTGTCTTGTTACCTTCTCCGGGATTCTCGATTGAAGCCATTGTGCAGTTCGATAGGATTACTTCCATTTTGAGCGTCTCTGCCTTCAGAACAATGAAGCGTCAATCTAAAAAAAAAAAATAATAAATAAATTATAATTTTTAAAAACAAATTCAAATCTATTTGTGTCTATTATAAATTTTGATGGAAAATTTTCATTCTAATTATAATTACATTTATCATCCTCAGTAAAATGCCATTTTATCCAAGCTCCTAGGGTCCTGTGCATAACGATAAACTACATCCGGCCACAACGACTGATCGGGAGATTAGGGGTTTTAAGGAGCGTAAAACCACCACTTAGTTGCTGTTGTTCTCAGGCTTACTAAGAACCTGGGTGGTAACAACTGTTAGGGTCCCAGCCATAGGCAAATACTAACCCCTCTATACAAAAAGGGAAAGACTTGGGAAGTAAAAAAATACAAGTTATCAACAATATATTTTTATAGTAAAATTACTAGTAACAGATTTTATAGCCGAATGGCGACAATACATTTTACATTAGAATTACAAACAATGTATTTTCTAATAAAATGACTAGCAAGTAATATGACCAACAATACATTTTTAGTATCTGTCTATATTTCTGAGATATGATATTATGTACACTATTTAAATTATTCGGACTATTGTCCTCATCTTTGTCGCCATATTTATTACACATGGCACAGTGGATAAAGGCGTTGGTTAGATCCAGTGACAGGACCCAAAAAGTGTGAGTTCAATATCTGGTTAAGGCGGTGGAAACCTTGTAGAGGGGAATTAACAGGAGATAACTGATAACTGACATCCATTAGTCATGTCACGTGAAACTAGAACACTCTACCCAGTGAGCGAAATAAAGGGTTCAGTTCGACATTCCAACAACCTGAAGAAGGCCGGAGCGTACAACGGTCGAAATGTTGTAATAAATATGGCGACAAAGATGAGGACAATAGTCTGAATAATGTAAATAGAATAGATTTTTATAGTAAAATTACCAACAATACAATTTTATAGCAAAATGACCCACAATACATTTTTTCTAGCAAAATTACCAACGATACATTTTTATAGGTTTTTATAGCAAACTGACATACAATAAGTTTTTGTTTATAGCAAAACGACCTACAATACATTTTTTATAGCAAAATGACCTACAATAAGTTTTTTTATAGTAAAATGACCAACAATACATTTTTTATAGCAAAGTGACCTACAATATTTTTTTTATAGGAAAATGACCTACAATACATTTTTATAGCAAAATGACCTACAATTCATTTTTATAGTAAAAATGATCAACAACACATTTTTATAGAAAAAAGATAATCAATATATCACTAAAACAGTGTAACAGTAAAATGAACAGCAATACATTATAGCAGAATTATCAGCAATACATTTGACAATAAAATGACCGAATTTTATGGCAAAATGACAATATATTTTATAGTACAATTAAAAACATGGCTTACGTTGTCAAGGAATAATAATAATAAACAATTTCCTATGATTAATCTAATTTCTTGTAAAGGAAAACAAGTTTTCACTTCCCGTTTGATTTTGGTCAAATAATTTGGTAAAAGAATTCAGCTACATAATTATAATTCAATCATGAAATAATGCAATTCTCTTGAATTAATGACAAAATATGAATTTCCATATTTAGGTTTCGGCATTAAATAACTCATTAGGTAGTGATATGTTTCTAGAGGAATAAGCATGGGAAAAGCCAGAAAATAAACAAATTAAAAAAAAGTCTACAAATTTAATACATTTTTATTATTGAGTATTTCTTTTCAATTAAATTGAAAGAAGTGAATTACAAAAATCACACAAAATATTTTTCTTTTTCACAACACGACAGAATCAATTAAGTTAGTATCATATAAGAAATTGAATGTGTCTACATAAAGAGAGTGCCACCTATTTACGTTGCTTCCTGAATGCATGTCATTTTTCAGCAGTCGGCAAAGAGCAGTCAACAAACGACAGCCGTAACTACGATAAAGTTTTTCTTTACAAAAACTATGCTTGTATGTTTTTTCGTGTTGCTTAATTTACCTTAAAATCGCGAGATTACTAAAAACGTTACTTGTTAAGAAATGATGCGTAATTAGTTATACAAACGGTGTGAGAATTCAGTTGTGCACAAAAGCAAGAAAACCCTGGTCATATGTTTATGAAAAAACTGAAAATTGAATACTAGACTTTAGGCGATCGTATTTACAACAGAGAAATAGGCTCCAGGGATGTAAAATTTAGAATTGCTAAACTCAGAAGTGTTATAGGTTAATAAATATTTTCCCAAATTTTAAGTATCTATTTTTAGGTGGAAAAATATTGTTGATCATTTTCTAAAGTAAATTTTCAAATTTCGTAGCAGACAACAGAGTCGTCTGAAATTTCAGAGAATCCAGCGTGTTTGAAATGACATTTTTTTTATATATGCGAATGTAGACATTGGTATTTTTAGTATTTTTTTTTTACATTTTTAACGGGGTTCCACATGATGCTAAACAAAATCTACCAACCAACCAATCGAAGTGAGTAATCGAATTTATAGACAATATTGCTTTGTTTACGTTCTGATATTTTGTATAATTGCTGAACATATTTAAGTTTTTAGTTTTTGCAATAAGAGAGGGGTTTCTTTACTTTTATTGTTGTTAGGTGATATTTATCAATATATTAAGTTTCTTGTAATCTTTTCTGTATAGTTTGTGGTTATGTCTTTTTTTTTAAAAATAAAACAATATGATGACATGATTTTTCACGTGAAGACGGAATACGTTAACAAAACGATATTACATACGAAGTCGCGATATTTGAAAAAACGTTGAAACTGACAATGCACAAACATCTCTTTGATAATGGTTTATGAAAGCATAAAGTACTCATACATTAGAAAACTGATATTTAAATATGCAAGAGAAACCAGGAAAATAGAATGAAACACTAAAAAATATATATTTTGTTTGTGTGTGTATTCTCATTTATTAAAAATGAGAATACACACACAAACACGCATAAACACAGAAATACACACACACACACACAGACATATATATATATATATATATATATATAAGGAAGATGGTATAGTTGTTCCAAAGAGATAAAAGTGTATATTTTTCATTTTAATAATATGTGGAAATAATCACACTTTGCCTGAAGAAGGCTGCGAAGTCGGAAACCCGTGAAGCAAAAAAATATGAATAATATTGTATAATATGTATTTTAAAAAATCCACATTATAAACAAAAACGTTAGTGGTTTTATATATATATATATATATATATATATATATATATATATATATATATATATATATGTATAATAAGGTTTAAACATTAATATTCCACGGTTATAATTTATTACATTGGAATCGTAATTACGATCCATTTCATTAGACCTACAAATTCAAAAAGAAATCAGAGAAAATAATTTAGTGAGAGTGTATGTATGAGTGTGGGGGGGGCGAATGTGAGAGGTAAATAAAAGCTCTAGGGAGGGGTAACAGACGAAAGAAGAACAGGAAGGCCTAAAAGTGAAGGTGGGGAGTAAATTTAAGAGAGAAGTTTTAAAGAGAGGAGTTAAATGACGGTTTAAATGATTCAGCTACAGATAAATATGAATTATTTTCCGATACATAATTTAGTTCGGCGAGGGAGCCCACTAAAGAAAGATTGTGCCCTCGACAGGAATCGGTCGACAAAAGACAGTGACTCCAACATGAAAACAGTTTCGCCAGGGAGCCCACTAAAGAAAGATTGTGCCCCCTATAAGAATTGATCGACAACAGCATGTTACTAAAACAGGAAAACAGTTCGGCCTAGGAGAGCATCCTGACAGGACAATGTCTGAATGACTAATTTAAGGAAAGCACCTTCTCTTTTTACGACTCTGCTAGCATCAATTTCACACGCGAAACGTAAACAACCGTAATTTTTGAAAGAATTTTTTTTCTCAAACATTATTTCTTGATTACTATAAACTTTTAATGAGTACATTATTTGTTGGCGTGTCGCTCTCTTGCTCAATAATAATTCGAAACAACCAGTAAAATTTCACAGTGTATTTTCCGTTGAATCATAATTTTTAGGTTAATGATTCAATAAGCTTATGTCAAATTCTACAACTATAAATTACCCGTGGAAAGTCCTCTATGGCCTAATTAAATATTTAGGCTTAACAACCTTAACAAAATATTGCAACAACAATCATAAATAGGAATACTTGTCGTTATTTAAAGAAGTAAAACGGTACAAACGAAAAGATTTAAAATTGACAAGGTCTTCCATTTCATTGAAGCAGACGTTAAATACATTAAAATTTTACCGCGTCTTCCATCTTAACTTTCTTTCTCCCAATTATTTGTTGGCGTGCCGCTCTTTCGCTCAACAATAACTGGAAAAAACGGCAAATTTCACGGTTTTCCTATTTTAAATTTCTGATGTATAATATTTCTGAAGTTAATGACTGAATATCTTACGAGTTCTTTTTTTTTTTTGCTTTACCTTGACATAAAGAATGTTGGTGTATTCAAATTCTTGAGAATGTCCACTTTTAACTGGGTATATTGAAGGCAAGACGGACGGAGAAAACAGCGAATAGCCTATCTAAC